AACGACTTGCGTCATACGACACGTCCGACGCCACACTTCCCTGCCCGGTCGACATAGTGGCCAGCTGTAATGCGACCTGAGACTAGCACCAACAGGTCAGCCAAGACTGTCACGAACATCCCAGTCACTCACCGGGCTACCCCGAACCCGGCCCACCCTCTTCGACACCTACCGTCCCGAGATAAACCTAACTGGACTTACCACGTCTTTTCCTCTTAATGCAGCCCTCTCGGGTATCCTTTCGTCCCGTAGAACAGTAGGTCAGGCTTAACAAAGAACCCTGTCTCTGATTTTCCTTTCTCACGAAATCTGAATCGCACAAGCGAAGAAGTAAGAGACAAAAAGAACGAAGAAAGAAGGGGAACCCGTCCCCTTCCCATCCTTTTGCCCCAAGGCATGCCCTCCAAGAGAACCCAACAAGACTCCACTTGCATACACAAAAAAGAACCACTCACATGGTTTACTCGATATCCACATTTCGTACGACCATTAATGACCAATCGTCCTACACCCAGTTAAAGCTCTGTCCCATTCGTCCACACTCCGTTTTAAGTGGATATTACCTCACTCCACTTCTTCCAGAACAATCCAATCCCTTTCCATTGTCTGGGTCATTCCCTCGTTACCTCGTTATTCATTCAGGCACACTCCCTCGTTACCACTCCCTCGTTTAGTCGTTTAGTCGCCTGTAGCTCCTGTCCTCCACCATTCCTCCAATCCCCTCCTTACTAATCTGCTGGGTCGGGTCATGGGCCATGGGCCATCTTATAACAAATTATAGGGATTTTGGACCCTCCGTCTACCGATTATTAAGAAGGAGGGGGGCTATGAGTGGATAGGAGCATTAGCGACTGAGAACGGCCGAGAGTAATGGGGAGCGTAAGCGACCCCAAGAAGAGACCGAATGGTGAACCAGGAAAGGTGGTGTGGAGACACGGAAAGGATTGGTGGACAGTAGTCGTACATTTTGTGGATACTCTTTGGGTATATGAAGGGGGTGGTGCCCCCCTTCTTTTCGGGCAAGGAAAGCACGCAGGCTTGTGTTCTTCTCTTCTTTCTCTTCTGTCTTCGGTTGAACCCTTTCTAGTCGACGAGTCGGAGAGACCAGTGGTCTGCTTTTAGTAGGTTCAATGAGTCGACGACGTTTGGTTTCATCGGTGATAACGTTGGGATGTCTCTCACTGGGAGTGATTGTGATTGTTCTTGCGGTGTTGGCTGCTTAGTAGCTGAGGGGACTTCGGCAAGACAAGAGATTGTTGGTGACTCTTTTGTTCACTGGAATCCTGGGTGTAAGACCGAACCGGATGGAGGACTTTGGTGTCGTCGGTTCTTCGTGGCACAGTGGGAACTGGAAGAGCAGCCGTTGTGGGAACACTTGGAGGAAGCGGTGCGAAAGCGAGTTGAAGGCGTGAGTTGCCGTTTGTTTGGTTCATTTCGACGGCGTCGGAGTGATGAAGAAGGAATATTGTGCACAGTGATGATGCTGTTGGACAAACCATGGGGTGGTGTTGTAAGTGATATCTTCGGCGCGATATCGGTGGATGGGACACCGTTTAATGAGGATGAACATGTTGTTTGGTGTTCACCTTGCTGTGAAGAAGACCGGAGAGAAGCGTATGGCGGTTGGAAACTATTTTTTCTTTCCTCCATTGGTAACTTGTATGGGCAAGATATTGAGTGGGGAGACTTGGTGGTCGACAAATCTGTGAAGAGGGCAGAAATGTGTGTTCCACGGGTTGTGTTTACGCCACTCGGATTTGGTACGAAAGAGGAGGAGAAGAGTTATTTGAAGGACTGGAACCGTGAGGTAGTGGGAGGAAACCCAGTTGATATGTGTGTTATAACAGGAGGTCTTGATTGGAGTAATTGGAGGAAACCTTGATGGAAGTGACTGTCGTGAAGGCAAGTGAGTTGGGAATAGCTTCACTTTTCTCTTAAGACGTATTCTTTTAGTTAGACTTCTTCTTTCTCCTAACTATACAGTTCTGATTAATGGGTATGGGGCGAAGCCCTGTACGAAGGAGTGAAACGACTGAGTCAGCTGTGCTTCCTTAGGATAAAAGATAAATGGAAAACTTGTTGAAATTGTCAATTAATGTGAAGTGATGTAATGTGAATAGCTTCACTTTTTGAAAGTATGTAAAGGGGCGTAAGCGACTGGGACACCAATGAAATGCAAGCGCCGCGGTTCAATGTGTGCGAATCAACGGCGTGCGCTGGTGCCGCTAGCTCGCTGGGTTATGCAGCTTCGCGCATGGTTGTCTATCTCTCACTGGCTTTTTGGGGGCTGACCGCCTGCCAGGCGCTTGGCTGTGTATTGGGATTCTTATGGCGGCTTGCTACTTTAGGCCTCTGTGCTGTGTGGGACCCGTATCCGTGTACAGAACAGAATTAATCATCGATATGCAATTGACCCGCTGGTCAAGCGCTCGAGCCTTTTTCGCGCCTTTTTCGCGCCAACAGACATAGACACCCACGCCGTCAAGTAGACACGTGTTGCCGATCAGGCAAGATTCTGTCCTGTGACCCAGGAGTACTTTCATCCATATGTGGAGTCCTCATTTGATGCATTTATTCTGTCGTTATCGCCCCGGTAAGACTCCTACCGATGCTGGATTCTGACCAATTACCTTCGCTTGGACTTCTGGAAGTCTCATTTTGTACCTTAACAACAATCAATCCACTTTGTTCAATTCCGTGGTGACAGTTATGAGCCCGGGCGACGATACAGCTCCTTGACCTTCGATATCTACAGCAGGGCGCCTACGGCCAATACGCCTGCTGCGAAGCTGTCTACAGCTGAATCGCCGCTGCACTTCAACAGTCAATTGACGCGACGTTTCGCCATTGACGACCACTGGCCAAGGGCCGTTACCGACATCCTCCAGGAGAGCGATCATCTCTCCACGACACATCGAAGCAGGAGAAATCAGCTCCTCAAGACCAATTGAACCTCCGAGACGTGTGGCCTAGGGCTCGAGTACACGCGGGGTCAATTGATGACATTCAACATACACGCGATCAGTCGCGACCATCGAACGACCTCCCCGACGGTCTCCGACAACGCCCAGGGATCCTCAAGATGGACTCTGGTAAGCACAGAGTGACACTTACAAGGAGGGAGGAATGGAGGACATGGCTCAACTCCGTCAGAGCCGTGGCGACCTCCTACGAGGCCTGGGATCTAGTCGACCCAGACAAAGAGGCTGACAGGCGGCCCAAGAGGGCCCAGAAGCCAACAGCACCATCGTTCGAAGATGAGACGCGAGATCTCAGCACACTGCTGACGTTGTACAAGATCCATTTAGACATCTACAACAGGGAGTCAGCGGGCCTCCAGGAGGTCCAGAAATACATCCTCAACACAGTCGACAGGAGCCTTTCGGCCGTCTTCATGAACGAGGAAAACAGCCAGGAGTGGCTCAAGGCGTTGAAGGACCACTTCGCCCCTTCCGACATGGGACAGAAACAATACATTCGCCAGCGCTGGGAGGAGCATATGGCGATGATCAAGAAGATGGACCATGAGAAGTGGGTTGACGACTTCATCCTACTCTGTATCGAAGTTGAGAAGCACGGGATTCCTCAGCTTAAAGAAGCCGCAGATCAAAATGTTCAATTCCTTCGGGCAATTCTTTCCGTGTCTCCAGGGTGGGCCGAAGCAGAGTGCGCCCACCAAGTTCGCCGGGAGCTGGACGATCGTGATGGAGGGAAGGTACTGGCGTTGAGGTACAAGAGCTACCTTAGAGACTACCAACCGCATCGCCTCACCACCAAGCCATCTCAGACGTCCTTCTACAGCGACTCGGTGACCTTCATGGGCAAGGACCGGAATGGTCAAAGTGGTCGGACGAGTGCCCAGGATTCCCATCGTGACTCTCCTCAACAGTCAAACAGCTCGCCTTCTCGCAGACCATTCTGCGACTGTGTACAGCAGAAGAGGGCACCCAAGGCGTGTCAGCCCATCTGCCTGTGCCCAAATATCGCAGAGCACCGGAGGAAGAAGAGCTATCAATCCGATCAGAGCCTGCTGGACTACATTGACGAAGCGAAGAAAAGGATGAAGCCAAGCACATTGCAATTCTGGAATGAGAAAATCAAGGAGGACAAAAAGAAGCAGCAGGAAGCAAGAGGCACCAGTAGAGTCGCCGTCTCTGCTTTTAACAACTTCCTCGGTGACGATGATGAACAGAGCTGCGATGACGAGTACACCAACTTCATGAGCAACTTCTCCGTCGCTGATTCGGACGAGTTTCAACGGACAAACCGAGGAGGGGATCTCCGTCACGAGTTCCTGATCGACTCGGGTACACCCAACCATATCACCAACAACAAAGACCTCCTCACCAACTTTCGCGAGGCCACAGACACTGTAAGATACAGCACAGGAGGAGGCAAATCAAGCCCCGTCGAAGGGTATGGTACAATGACCATCGAAACCCTCGACAGCAAGCAGAACGTCATCAGCATCACCTGCCATGACGTCTCGTACATCAGAGACTACCCGACGACGCTTGTTTCAGCCAGGCAGCTCCAACGTCAAGGACTCGGACTGGACTCGCTCAGGAACATGCTGTTCAACCCAGCCACTGGCTCAGAGATCCCACTGCAGGAGAAGGGTGGCCAGTATGCGGTGAACACCCTACATAGCACCACTTCCTTCTATCACTCCAAGAAGCAGAGAGCCGCGATGGTCAGCGACTCGAGGCTCTGGCACGAACGGCTGGCTCATGCCCACCCAGAGGCCATACAGCAGCTGCCATACAGCTGTACTGGAGTTGGAGTGAAAGGGCCAACAACATTCGAATGCGAGTCTTGCGGGGTAGCGAAATCCAAGAAGATTGTATCTCGGAGACAGCCAACGTACACGACGACGAATCCATTTGAGCGCGTCAACCTGGACTTCTTCAGCCCTGGGAAGTCGTACAACGGCATGGAGTCGTGCCTTGTAATAACGGACGCATATTCGGGGAAGATTGTTGTCAGGATTCTGCCTGCCAGAGCAGATGGCTTCCAGGCGTTTATCAACTTTGAGATGTTTCTCTGGAGACAGTACCAGCTGGTCATCAAGGTCCTGAGAGTTGACTGGGACTCAGCACTACGCAGCAATCTGGTTACTTGGTCAGAAGAGCGCGGCATTCTCTTGGAGAGATCAGCCGCAAGGACACCAGAACAGAACGGTGCCGCAGAACGCAATGGAGGCACGATATTCACCATCGCAAGGACCCTTACCTCGGCTGCTGGGTTCCCGGAGGATTTGTGGCCAGAGGTGGTACAAACCGCTGCATATCTCCACAATCTCACGCCGAAGGGACGCCTACAGTGGGCGACACCAGAAGGAAGGCTGAACGACTGGCTCAACTCCAAGGGCCTTGCCGCTCGAACTACGGCTCCAGGCCTGGCTCACCTGCGAAGATACGGATGCAGGGCGTATCCTCTCACGGCAGACGCCCAAGAGGGACGTAACCGAAAGCAGAAGCTGGCTCCGAGAGCCCACATCGGCTATCTCTGTGGATACGACAGCAGCAACATATACAGAATCTGGGTTCCAGAGATGAAAGCAGTATTGAGGACAAGAGACGTGGGTTTCGATGAGTCCACAGTTTTCAAGGACGCCCAATCCCCAAAGCCAATTCTACAGGACGAATTCCAGGCTTGGGACGTGCCCGTTGCGGACGCCCAGAATCCTTTCAACTCGTCACTGGACATTGACGAGTTCGATGTTGCCACCATCGACCTGTTCGAGAAAGCCCGGACATTCCAACTTGGAGGAAAGATCAACGCGGAGATACTGCGACCCCGGGAAGGTCACACAGCCAGCAGAGATGATGTCCTGCCGTCACCACGTCCAACTCCAGAGACGGAGACTGGACAAGGCCAGCCAGCTGTCTCTGAGGGGGTGGAAGATGCCGTAATAGACACCATTCAAGGGGCTGAAGATGCTGTGGAAGACACGATCCCCGTGCCAGACACCATTCAAGTGACTGAAGAGGCTATTGAAGACACTATCGAAGTAGCTCGGAGCCCTGAATCAACACCTCAACACACACCAGCTGATCAAAGTTCAGCTGAAGACGAGACAGAGACTGTGGAGGCCCGACCATCAGTGGCACCAGCCCCACAGCCGTCGCCATCAACACAAATCCAAGGCACTCGAAGGAGCGCTAGAGACAGAAAGCCGTCACAGTTCAAAGACGGCACCCCCACCGACCAGGCTCTAGGAGCCCGCCGCAGCAAGAAAATGCCTCCATCATCACATTTGACCATGGAATACTCATTCTTTCACACTCAGACTCCATCGAACAAGAAACCGCTTCTCCGAACAGATATGCCCGCGGAGCCAAGATCCTGGAAGGAGATGCTTCATTCTGATCACAAAAAGCAGTGGCTAGAAGCAAGCGTCCAGGAGGTCAACACCATTGAAAATATGGACACAATCGAGCAAGTCCCCTTCGAATCGGTCGACCAGGAAATACACAAGGTTCTCGGGTTGACCTGGGTCTGGAAATACAAGGTTGACTCCACCGGCTACGTGACCAAGTTCAAGGCCAGGCTCTGCGTACGAGGAGACCAACAGCCCAGGAATGAGATGGAAACATACGCGTCGACACTGGCAGCCAAGAC